CCCTCCTGGTTCACAGGTCGATGCTCAGCCACTGAGTCACACCGGCCAGGCTTGCTGTGTTTCTCCTTGCTCTGGGCCTAGTTTCGCCTTCTAGCCTCCTCACAGCAGCCATTTAAAGTAATCTATATACAGCCTAGCTGGTGTGGCCCAGTGGATAGAGCATTGGACTGCACACTGGAGGGTCCCAAGTTTGATTCCAGTCAAGGGCACATGCTCGGGTTGCGGGCTCAATCCCCAGTAGAGGGAGTGCAGGAGGCAGCCAATCAATGATACTCTCTCATCATTGATGTTTCTATCTCTCCCTCTTCCTTCCTCTCTGAAATCAAAAAAATATATATTTATTAAAAAATAAAATAAAATAAAATGCTGGTGTCAAGGAAGAATACCTATTTATTCATACCGATGGTTAATAGAGATAAACCTTACTTTGTACTACTAAATGTTTTAGATCAATGTTTTATTTTCTCTTGTATCATTAACTGCTGATTAACATTTCACAGGATGCCAACAGAATTTCTGACTGACAAACAAAGAAGAAAATCAAATGTTTTTTCTCATCTGTTTTGGATATGCTGAACCTTTTCACAGTGAAAAGGACACAAAAAATGGTGCTGTATTTTGATAGCCTGTTATGACAGGTTCGATACTGTTTAACAACCTTTAATGTTTAGATTTCTACATACATCATCAAAACTCATGGAATTTATTATCATTGACCAGAATTGGTGTGAAACTCTTTTTCAATGATGCTTGAGAATGATGCTTCAGAAATGAAATACGACAATTTCTTTTTTCAAAAATATCTGGGAGTTACCTAGCACCTAGATCTTGTTTAAAATTCTTTATTGTTGAAACTTTTACATGTCTCTTTTTTCTCCCACTGACCTCTCCCCGCCCGCTCCCACTCCCTAGCACAAGCCCCTACCCCCCTATTGTCTGTGTCCATTGGTCATGCTCATATGCATGCATAAAAGTCCTTCGGTTGATCTCTTATCCCCCCCACTCCCCTGCCTTTCCCCTGAGGTTTGACGTTCTGTTTGATGCTTCTATGTCTCTGGATCTATTTTTGTTCATTGGTTTCTGTTGTTTATGTTCCACAAATGAGTGAGATCACGTGATACTTATCTTTCTCTGACTGGCTTATTTGCTTAGCATCATTCCCATCCAAGGATATGTTTTCATTGGTTTTAGAGAGAGGAAGGGGGGGAGAGAGAGAGAGAGGAAGAGAGAGAGAGACATCAATGTGAGCGAGACACTTCAACTGGTTGCCTTCCATATGTGCCCTGACCTGAGATTGAACTCACAATCTAGGTATGTATTCTGAGCAGGAATTGACCCTGCAACCTTTGGGACGATGCCCCAACCAACTGAGCCACTGGGCCAAGGCTAGATCTTGGTTTTGAAATATCACTTGCCACTGAAAGGAACCATGGCTCCTTGGAGTAAGAGCCATTCTAGGGAGAGAACATGAGTACCCCTAAAACATCTTATTTGTATCAGAAAGCAAGTACTCAAACACTATGGCGACATGACCAAAGGATATATATAGAAGCCTGTATGAAAGGGACTGTATGGTCAAACCTGGGGCAATTTGAACTTCAAAGTAAATAATAATAGTAACAGAATATAACCCATTGAATAAAATAATCTACAGCCGTTCTAATATAAGTAAACAAGTAAAAATTAATGTGAGATATGGAAAAGCTCTTCCTTAAATCACCATTTGGCCTGGTAGACAACTGGTTAACCAGTGCTCAGTTATCCTCACCAGAAATGAGACAAACCATCATATGCCTCCTGATACGGTGCACTAAGAAGGAAGAATACAGCCCTTCTATGATATACCTGTGAAAAAATGCATAATCTGAATCTAAACTTGAAACATTAGACAAACCCCGCTGGCGGATGCTCTGTAAAATAACTAGCTTGGACGCTTCCAAAAGATCACAGTACTGAAAAACAAATGAAGGGTAAAAGGTTGTTACATGTTAACGAAAACTAAAAACACGTGAACTCCAAGCAGTGCATTTTTTGATATGTAGGGCATTACTGGAATTTGAATAAGGTCTATAAATTACCTCAATTTCCTGTTTTAATAATTGCACTGTGATTACATAAGAGAATGTCATTGTTCCTAGAAAATATACACAAAAGTATGTAAAGGTACAATACATCTACAATTTCCACTCAAATGGTTCTGAAAAAAAAATTAAGATAAAGCAAATATAAAGTGTTTAAAATAGGGAACATGAGTGAAGGGTATACGAGCATCATTTGTATTATTTCCAAACTGTTCAAAATTTGAAATCATTTCAAAATAAGTGATTTTATTTAACATTAATATTTTGTTTACTATTAAGAAAATAAAACCTAAAACTCCCAAATCAACTTTACGATGTAGGAATCATTTAGACATGTGTCGGAAAGACGCAGAGGAAAAGGGGCAGAGAAGTGAAAAGGCACAATGACTGGAATGACAACTGCAGTTTTACCAACTATTCTTGCAAATCAAGAACAGGCACAAAGGGCCCGGTCAGTGTGGCTCAGTGGCTGAGCATCAACCTATGGAGGTCATGGTTCGATTTCCGGTCAGGGCACATGCCTGGGTTGCAGGTTTGATCCCCAGTAGGGGGCGTGCAGAAGGCAGTTGATCAACGATTCTCTCTCATCACTGATGTTTCTATCTCTCTCTCCCTCTCCCTTCCTCTCTCTGAAATAAAAATATATTAAATAATAATAATAAAAGAATAGCAACAACAAAAAAAGAACAGGCATAGAGGCTCTGGTTGGTGTGGCTCAGTTGTTAGAGCATCAGCCCACATACGATAGGGTCATGGGTTGCAGGTTTGATTCTGGTCCTGGTTGGGGGCACGTGTGGGAGGCAACCAATTGATGTGTCTCTTTCTCCCTCTCTATTTCCCCTACCCCACTCTCTCCCTCCCTTCTAAAAATCAATGGAGCCCTGGCTGGTGTGCTCAATGGTTAGAGCACTGGCCTGTGCACTGAAGGGTTACAGGTTCGATTCCTGGTCAAGGGCACGTACCTGGGTTGTGGGTTTGCTCTCTGCCTCTGGTTGGGACGCATGTGGGAGGCAATCAGTTGATGTGTCTCTATCACATCAATGTCCCCCCACCCCTACCCCTTTTCTCTCCTTCTCTCCTTCTCTCCCTCCTTTCCACTTTCTCTCTGAAAAGTAATAAGAAGAATATCCTCTGGTGAAGACTAACAAAAAAAGAACAAGCACAAAGGGCAAAATGATATGCTATAATTTGTGGAATTAGATAAATTATCTGTCTGGAGAAATGGACAAAGAGATGAATGAAAAAAGGAAGTTGGATTTTAGACGGTTTTTCAAATTGAGACTGTTCCCCATTGTAAGTAATTTAAGCTAAGCACGGAAATGAGATTCTGTATATTTTATCTGATTCTGCAAATGAGACAGGAATATACATTAAAATCTAATGTTTCAAAGTAAGTCACTATCAATTTGAGTAATCTGGTTTAAATCAGGGAAGAGTTCATTCTGGGTGTCATTTTGGGTTTCCAGGTTATACAGAATTAAATGCAATAGGATCTGGTAGGTTGAGAACTTTTATAGCTAGGTGTATTCCAAGACTCATTTTTATCCATGACTGATTTTTGCTGTGAGGTCATGCTAATAACATACACTTTAATATACCCTTCCTTTGTGAAAGTTTCTCTACATGTCAGCCAAAAGATCTTAGTTCCATAAAATAAACATTAACATAAAACAATCTTCTCTAAAAATATCACTGAAAATGTGAATTAAAATAAGTCTTTTTGTTAAAAGTTACCTGTAATTGATAATATCAGAGCAACCAAGCCGCCACTCTAAAGTTTCTGTGGTGAAGTCATCCGTATTTCCTAGGTCAGTAAATCCAGTGACGTAATCTTGCGTTTTCCCATCTTTCACCAGTGCTAGTGTGGGGATGACTTTGATCTTCAGTCTCTCACAAAGGAAAGGTGCTTTTTCCACATTCAGCTTCAAAAATTTGGTCTCCAGATGTTTCTTGGACAATATTGCTAAATGTTTGTCTAGTATTTTACACCTGTAAATAATAAATATAAAAAATCAAAACCCCAAACAACAGAGTTCTTCTTAAAGATAAATGCCATTAAGTAAGGTACACCTGATTTCATGTTTATCTGTTTGAGTCTCATACTTTGGTAGCCAACTGGTGCTTGTGTCAGGTGATCTCACTTCCATTTCAGAGGTAGCTGCCTGATTGTGAGAGGCAGAAAAACAATGTAGTATTCTAAGAAGTCAGATTTGCTTTAATGATATTTATAAAAAACATTCAATATATGCCTTAAATTGAAAGTGCTTCACAAAGTTGTCATGTTCGTGATAAAAACAAAAGATTGTAATTTCTTTTATGCATGATTCCTGGTATCTTATACAGGAAGCTTGAAGGGTGACAAATCTAAACTTGATGGAACTCGGAGAGACTTCTCAGAATTAGAAATGTTGGGGCACGTGCAGGAGGCAACCAATTGATGTGTGTCTCTCACATTGGTGTTTCTCTCTCTCTGTCTCTCCCTCTCCCTACCGCTCTCTCTAAAAAGCAATGAAAAAAAAATATCCTGGAGTGAGGATTAACAAAAAGAAAACAACAACAACAAAATATCCAACAAACAAGAGTCCTAGACCAGCTGGCTTCACAGATGAATTTTACCAAACATTTGAAGAACTAACACCTATCTTTCTCAAACTATTCCAAAAAATTGAAGAGGAGGGGAGATTCCCAAGTTCATTTTACAAAACCAGATAAAGACACTACAAAGAAAGAAAATTATAAGCTAATATCCCCCATGAACATAAATGCTAAAATTTTTAATTAAAGCAAACTGGATCCAGCAATACAGTGTAAAAGATTATACACTATGATCAAGTGAGATTTATTCCAGGATGCAAGGTTGGTACAATATACACAAACCAATTAATGTGATATACCATATAAACAAAATGAAGGATAAAACCACATGATCATTTCAAAAGGTGCAGGAAAAGCATTTGATAAAATCCAGCACCCATTTATGATAAAAACAAAACAAAACAAAACAACTCAGCAAAACAGAGAGGGAACATACTTCAACATAATGAAGGCCATACATGAAAAACCCACAGCCAACATCATACTCAATGGGCAAAAACTAAAAGCATTTCCTTTAAGATCAGGAACAAGGCAGGGTTATCTGCTTTCACCACTCTTACTCAACATAGTACTGGAAGTCCTAGCCACAGAATCAAATAAGAAGAATAAATAAAAGGCATCCAAATGGAAAGGCAAAAGTAAAACTGTCATTATTTGCAAGTGACATGATACTGTATATAAAAAAAACCTAAAGATTTCACCAAAAAACTACTAGGACTTGATTACATTTAATGAAGGATGTAAAAGACCTATTCTTGGAAAATTGTAAGACACTGAAGAAAGAAACTGAAGATACAAATAAGTGGAAACATATGCCATGTTCATGGATAGGAAGAATTAACATAATTAAAATGTTCATAGTATCCAAAGCAATATAGATTCAACACCAATTCCAATCAAGATACCAATGGCTATTCACAGAAATAGAACAAATATTCCAAAAATTTACATGAACCCAAAAAAAGGCTCCAAATAGCAACAGTCATCTTGGGAAAGAAGAACAAAGTTGAAGGAATCACACCACCTGATATCAAACTATACTACAAGGCCACAGTAATCAAAACAGCATGGTACTGGCATAAAAAGACATACTGATCAATGGAACAGAATAGAGAGCCCAGGAATAAATCCATGCCTTTATAGTCAATTAATATTTGACAAAGGAGGCAAAAACATACAATAAGGTAATGGTAGTTTATTCAATAAATGGTGTTGGGAATACTGGCCAGGTATGTACAGAAAAATGAAACTAGACCATCTTCTTACATCATACACAAGAATAAGTTCAAAATGGATTAAATATTAAATGTTAGGATCAAAACCAAACCAAAACATTTTTGCACAGCAAAGGAGACCATCAACAAAATGAAGACAACCCAATGAATGGGAGAATATATTTGCCAAAGATACATCTGATAAGGGGTTAATATCCAAAATTTATACAGAATTTATAAAACTCAACACTAAAAAACCCCCAAACGATGCAATTTAAAAATAAGCAAAGGACTTAAATGGACACGTCTCCAAAGAAGACATATAGCAGGCCAACAGACCTATGAAAAGATGCTCAATGTCACAAATCATCAGAGAAATGTAAACTAAAACCACAATGAGATGTCACCTCACACCTGTCAGAATGGCTATCATCAATAAATCAACAAACAGCAAGTGCTGGGGAGGGTGTGTAGAAAAGGGAACCTTGTTCGTGCACTGTTGGTTAGAATGCAGATTGGTGCAGCCACTGTGGAAAGCAATATGGAGTTACCTCAAAAAAAATGGAAGTGCCTTATGACCTATGATTCCATTTCTGGGAATTTATCTGAAGGAACCCAAAATACTAATTCAAAAGAATATGTGCACCCCTATGTTCACAGTGCAGCATCATTTACAATAGCCAAGACACAGAAGCAGCCCAAGTGTCCATCAACAGATGAGTGGATAAAAAAGCTGTAGAGCCCTAACCGGTTTGGCTCAGTGGATAGAGCGTCGGCCTGCGGACTGAAAGGTCTCAAGTTCGATTCCGGCCAGGGGCATGTACCTTGGTTGCGGGCACATCCCCAGTGGGTGTGCAAGAGGCAGCTGATCGATGTCTCTCTCTCATCGATGTTTCTAACTCTTTATCCCCTCTCCCTTCCTCTCTGTAAAAAATCAATAAAACATATATATATAAAAAAAAGCTGTAGATACCTTTATACAGTGGAATACTACTAGGCCATAAAAAGGAAATCTTACCTTTTGCAACAAAATGGATGTGCCTGGAGAGCATTATGCTAAGTGAAATGAGCGAGTCAGAGAAAGGCAAATACCATATGATTTCACTCATATGTGGAATCTAATGAACTAACAAGCAAAATAGTGACAGACTCACAGAGAGTAGGCTGACAGCTGGGAGTAGGGGGAGTAGAGGGAGTGGGGTGGAGGTATTGAGCCAAAAAGAAAAAAAAAAAGAGAAAAAAACTCATGGACAGGAATAAGTGTAGTGACTGCTGGGGGTGGGAGGGGGGTAGGGGGTGAGTGGGTAGGAGGAATGGGTGGAGGGAGGTGTAAGGAGGTAGAGGAGGGTAAAGGAGGGATAAATGGTGCTGGACGGAGACTTGATTTGGGATGGTAAACACAATACAGTGCACAGACTACATGTTATAGAATTGTGCACCTGAAACCTGTATAATTTTGTTAACCAGTGTCACTCCAATAAATTCAATAAAAAGAAAAAGAAAAAGAAAAAAAGTAGAAAAATTGATGTTGCACTGATAAAAAATTTAAGTATACATTTCTAAGGTGTTTTTATTTTTATTTTTTTAAATACATTTTTATTGATTTCAGAGAGGAAGGGAGAGGGAGAGAGATAGAAACATCAATGAGAAAGAATCATTGACTGGCTGCCTCCTGCACGTCCCCCCACCGGCACATGCCATTGACGGAATCGAACTTGGGACCTTTCAGTCTGCAGGCTGATGCTCTATCCACTGAGCCAAACCGGCTAGGGCTCTAAGGTGTTTTTAAAGTTAGTAAATATATAATTCAGAAAACAGCCATTAATATAGAAATATTCTTGACTTTTAATAATGTTCACTTATACTTGTATATGTAACTGGTTTTTAAGTTAATCTTTAAAATAACAATTGCTTAACTTCAACGTACAGACTTCTAGTACAAAGAAACAACTTAGAAAGTAGTTCCTTTTATTGTTCTTAATTTCTCTGTCAGTATACGGTATTTCTATTCAAACATCTCTCCATGTTTAAAAAAAGTCAGTGAAGGAAACAATGTTACCTGAATGTAGAGTCTCTGTAGAAATGGCAAACCACATTTTTACTCTCCTTGACTTCTTGAAAAAAGTCTCTCTCACTAGGGATTTCTCTGTATTCCCCATGTCCTTTTGAAAGCCATTCCTGATTTGAAGAAAAAGGAAATATTACACATTTGAAAGATCTTTTAGTACCAGCTTATAGTGTGTGTACAAATCAGCACAATACAGGTGCGGCGATAGTTTACACTTGTGAATGTGTGACAGTTTATTCTTGTATTATTTAATTAGTGTATTATTTTACATAGGAACTATAAACTATTTTTGCCCCACCCTGTACTTTGTAATGTAGTTGATTTTATCCTGTAGAGAAAGGAATTCCTTTCCGTGACTTACTTTCCTATGTTTCTAGTGTCGATGAAAAAGTAGTGTGGGTACTACCTCCACAGCACAGCTCATATTTATGACAATTACCTGCCTTGGTAACTTAGAATATATGTTTTATTAGAACTTTGAAAATAAAATTTTAGACTCATGAGACTTAGCATGTGCAATCCATTTAATTTCTCTGTACTCAAACTACTAAAATCAGAAGCATTTTATTCAAATTACTAAAAAGCTTTCATAAATAATGCTCATGAGATAAAGCCAGCCTTTAGGGACAGGGGAAAAAAGAGGGGGAGAGGGTTACTGCAGCTCTGATGCTCAGGGGCCCTGCTTTCCCTCGATGACTCGCAGGGAGAGGCAGGAACCTCTCTATACTGGTGGCCAATGGGCAGTATCCTAGAAGAAAGAGTGGTCTACTCGGTGTCCAGAAACAACAGAGATCTCCTAAGTCATGTAATCCAACTTCCCAAACCAAGATGCCAACCCTGACCAGCAAGCCTGGCACACCTTCCAGCCTCTGACCTTTCCTGTGACAAGAAGCTTCTCCCCACAACGGGCAGCCTGTTTCCTCGTCAGGCAGTTAGTTTTAATAAAGGGGAACTGGGCTCGCAGGCAGAAGGCCTGCGCCTGAGTTAACGGCTCTACTGCTTATCAGGCTATGAATTCTAATAACGTGCCTGAGCCCCAATTTCCTCATGTGTAACAGGGAGATCATGGAGCGTTTACCTCAGAGTAGTTGTGAAAATAATCGACACGAAGACGAGTAAAACAGTGCCTGACACGTGTGCTTAGAAAGCATCGGTATGTGTACTAGTGCTAATCTTTGGAAAGGTCTTCTCACACTGAAGTGCCTTATCTCTAACTTCGGTCTGTGGATCCCAGCTCAAACCTACGATTAGAGAGAAAAGTGCTAATCTTTTCTTTACATGTTGGCCCTTCTAATATCACATCTCACCCATGTCCTCCCTTCTCTACACTGAATCTCCATTTCCTCTTGAGTGTTTCTCACACGGAACAGTATCTAGACTCCCTCTTCTGGTTGTCCTCTGAACAGTCTAATTCCTCCATGCTCTTTTAAGATGTGGCAGAAGTCTGAATGCAGCCTCTAGAAGGTCCAACTAGAAAGAGGCAGGAACGCCATCTCCTTTCCTCCTCTGCACTTAAGCTAAAGCAGCCCAGGTGCAGTACCCCTTTCACAATGGCTTCCATTGAGCTGACACTCACAGGAGGCCCAGATACCTTCTCCTTATGTGACATGTCTTTGGTAAAGCTCCTATAAACAGTTTAACCTCTCAAATCCAATGCCTTAAAATGATATGTGACATTTCATGATTCGTTTCTTTACTTGCTGCCGGGGTTCTTGTCCCAGCATCAAGAAGGGTTCAGGAATCTGGAAAAGGCTGTGCGTAGATGACACAGGAATCCAGAGACTAATAAAGAGTCTGGAGACGAGATATAATTTTGAAAGGCACTGGGTGTTGGAGGACCTTTAGCTAAAGGAACTGAAGACTCCCTCCTTGTCTAGGACCCTTGCTTTTATTAACACATTGCGTACCACATAGAAATCTCTAAGACATACGCCAGGGACCGCACGTTTTTGGGCAAACTGCACGTTATTTAAATCATCATAATGCACTTTAGGTGTTGTTTTTCAATAATTATAACATTTTTATTTACAAAAACAATTAAACAATTAAAGTGCCTAGTACTTTTTTAACGTATGGTACTGCGTAAAACATTTTCCTCTATGAAGAGGGACCAAACAAAATTTACATAAGTATCTAGATTCACTCCTTTTTCCATGGGTGTGAAAAAACGAGAACACTCGTGAGAGGTCCTTAACAGAGAGGTCCTTAACAGATGGCACGCAAAACACGAGAATAGGTCCTTAACAGATGGCGTGCAAAACACGAGAATACTGAGCAGAAAACTCCTGAGCAGTACGAAATGTGTTAACACAATTTGTCCTAAGGCAAGGTGGAGATAATATACTTCAAAGGGTAAGGTTTCAAAGGGTACAGAAGCACTGTCTGTCAGTTTTGGGGAATTAGCCTATGGCTGTTCAGGCCAGTAGGAGGCAATAACATGTAGATTAAGATGCCCTTTAACTGTCTGGCAGCCACAATCAGTTTCCTATTCAGGTTTGGGGAAATGCCTTTAGCCATTCCCAACAGGTGACTACAAGTGTGACTCAACCCTGTTGAGTCCCCAAGTTTAATCAACCTTTTGATAAAACTCTTAAAATTATGACATGCTGGAATTGGTTCCCGGCAACTTGTCAATGACCTGTGCACTTAAAACAGTAATTTTATTAAAATAGAAAATAATGAACAAAATTTTTGGTGGGCTCACCCTATTTCTTACCTTGTCCTTCTGCTCTCTACCTACGTCCTATGCCTCTAGCTGCCACAGTAGGGGGGTGCTTGGCTGACTGAGGAATATTGATTGACACAGGTCTATTAAGTACTTATGTCACTGTGTACACTGGTTTCCCCAATACCTTTGTGGATCAGAAAAATCAAAATTACTATACAATCTGCACTACTCTTTCAAAAAGAATGGCTATAAAAACCATTAAGGCTTCTTGCTTATTTCCTCAGAAAACATGTTAAAAAAATAAAAATAAATAAAAAAGGATCTATTAAAATGCAGTAAAGCCCAGCCAGCGGGGCTCAGTGGCTGAGTGTTGACCTATGGACCAGGAGGTCACGATTCAATTCTTGGTCAGGGCACACGCCTGGGTTGTGGGCTCGATCCCCAGTAGGGGGCGTGCAGGATGCAGCTGATTAGTGATTCTCATCACTGATGTTTCTATCTCTCTCCCTCCCTTCCTTCCTAAAATTAAAAAAAAATGCAGTAAAAGCTCTAAAATAAGACCCTCTGAGTTACTCCATAACAAATTCATTTTAAATTGATTTGTATGTTAATAAAAAAAAGTCTAAAGGCTGCCTGCTTTAATTGGTTTTTAATTATAAATACTCAGCCTATTGTTTTTAAAACTGCTGGACATCTTCTTTTAAGACATCGAATATGTTCCTCACTGCAAATCAGGTAGATACAGAGTTCTACCAAAATACCCTCGTATGCCAACTTTTTCCTAGTTGAGCATGAGCAAAGAGTGGTGTGTTTAACTCACAGCTAACTTATGACAGGCTGGCTTCACCACCTGAAAGGGAACCACTGCCTGCTGCTGCTGAAGTCTCTTCCTAGTCCACTTCAACCTCATATATCCGAGCTCAGAAAACGATCCCGGGCACGTATTTCTTGTACTTGACTGTAGACTATCACACCGAGCAGGCTAATTTTGAATGTGTCTTTAAAATTTTTATCCAGCCAAATTTTTAATAGTGATAGGATATTTGAGGTAAAAAAAAACAAAACAAAAAAAAGATAAAGGAAAAAGAAAACACCTTAACAATGAGGACCTGTAATGTAACTACTGGCACATGTGTGTATTTGCTAGGCGCACACTGTTAAAGTAATTTCAGAAAGCAGAGCAGGGAGGTTACTTGTTTCTGCTGTTGAGTTTTCTTTAGTGCCTTAAGTCTCTTTTCTTTGAGGAGTTCTAGTTCATCCTCGTCCATCTGATCCATTTTCTGAATTTCAGCATCCAAACGCTCTTCTACTAGTTTGGTGGTCTGAAGCAACTGGTTTTCCAGGACTTTTGAAAACATGTCGACAGATGTATGAGCTTCCATTCTTTACAGCTCAGCCTTGCTGCTGGGGAGAAGGTTTACAAGGTCAGGAAAAAAGATGCAAATAAGCAAAGTTTTCTTTCTTATTTTAAAAAAATTCCAGCAAGCGCATAATTTATAGTTCACAAAGTGTTCTGCTGACAATCAAGCACTTCATGTTAGGCTTTTCAATAGATTATAGTCACAGAACTCAAAAACGATTTAGAGCAAAGTTTAGGTGCTCCTGAGTTAGTTTCTGTTTTATTATATGAAAGCAAAGATAAGTCTTTAAGAACATAACCACAGACCAGAGAAAAATGAGTAGTTAGGAGTTACAGTAGTTGGAGCTATAGCTAGTGATATATATTGACAATCATTATTCTTTACCAAAGAAAGAGAAGCAAAATAGAAATGACTAAACTGTTGTAAGGTTGTACATATACACAGATACCAAACTTTGCTTCAACACAGAGCAGAGTTGAGCAAAAGACACATTTTCATGGTCTCTGCCTAAATGATTTTCTTTAAACTCCTTAGAAAGGCAATTACAATTTATGTAAAGAATGATGCCTGGTGTTCCCTAAGCTTTGGTTTCCATTCCTTTTCTCCCATTACCTAACAAAATCTATGAGGCCACAAGATTGATATTGATTTATTGACACTCGGTGTTCTTAGCTTTGATGTAAAACAATGTAATAGTCTATTTTTGACTTTTCCATCACTCTTCTATGTAAGATAGGAGTTTGTAAACATATTCTAATTCAGATTACAAAGGAAGATCTCAATTACATTGGTTTTAAAGAAACCAACAGCTCAAATGGTTAGAGTACGCTTACCATCCCCATATGACAAGGTTGCAGGTTCAAACTCCTGATCAGGGCACATGCAAGAAGTAATCAACGAACGCTTAAGTAAGTGGAACAATAAATCAATGATTCTGTCTTTCTAAAAAAAAAAAAGATAAAAAATTCTTTCGAAAGAAATGTATTATTTTCCACCAGCAACAATCAGATGGTGATTTTTATGTGTACACCTGGATTACTACAGAAATATAATTTATATATTTTGCCTATCAAAGCAGGAGGCTGTTGCATCTCAACTACTTACATGCATCTGCAAATACTAACGCAGCACTTTTAAAAATCTGAAGGAGCCCTGGCCAATGTTTCTAAGTAGTTAGATCTTCAGCCTGTGCACTGAAGGGTCTTGGGTTTGATTCCTGGTAAAGGGCACTATAGGGTTGTAGGTTCGATCCCCGTTCAGGAGGCAACCAATCGATGTTTCTCTTTCTCTTTCCTCCCTCTTCCCTCCCTTCTGCTCTCTCAAAAATTCACTGGAAAAAATATCTTCAGGTGAGGATTAACAAAAAAATCTGAATAAACTGTGATCTCATCCACCAGCTTCTGTGGAAATGAAGATAGTCTTCCTGAAAACCTCACTTTTTATTCCTTTTTCTCCAAAGAAAAAGCAGTTGAAATGCACATTTCACTTCATCTTTGTATCTCTACAGCTAGCAATGTCAGGGGCACAGTAGGTGCTCAAAAAATATTTAACTTGGGCCCTGGTGTGGCTCAATGGATAGAGCATCGGCCTGCGGACTGAAGGCTCCTCCCCGGCCTGGGCCCTGGTCAGGGGCGCGTGCAGGAGGCAACCAATCAATGTCTCTCTCACGTTAATGTTTCTCTCTCTCCCTCTCTCTTCCACTCTCGCTAAAAATCAATGGAAAAAAAATTAACTTTGAATGAACAAACTGTTAGTTCCTCAAGTGCTATAAAATTTTAAAGGAGCTGTATTTTATATGTAGTAAAAGAATTTTATGCCGAAACCGGTGTTGCTCAATGGATAGAGCGTCGGCCTGCGGACTGAAGGGTCCCAAGTTCGATTCCGGTCAAGGGCATGTACCTTGGTTGCGGGCACATCCAGTGAGACTGTGGCTTTCCAGGGGCTAGGTGAGGCAGAAAACTGAAAACTAAAGCCTGACTTGCTTGTCCGAACCAAGCAAGTTCTTACCAGGGGCATACAGAATTGATACCGGACACAATGGGTCCAGGCTGCCTGTCACTACTTGAGCCAAATTAAGCAGAAACAGGGTTGAATTATCAATGAGCGTTTATTCCAATAATGCCTGCAGTTTGAGGAGAGCAGTCGGTCACCTGGAAATTCTGCTCTGACCCCCGTCACCAGTGGGCTGATTTTATTAGGATCAGGAAAAACAAAACAGCGTGGAGCTGCAAGTGTAACAGGGCAAGGGAGGGTGTGGTCTGCAGTCCGGCCTTCAGGAGCTCAAAGTCTGATAACAAGGTGCTAATCATCTTTGTTTTTTTTAAAGCTTTATTTATTTATTTATTTATTTATTTATAGTCAATCCTCACCTGAGGATATTTTTCCATTGATTTTTTGGGAGGGAGAGTGGGAGAGGAAGAGACAGAAACACCGATGCGAGACACATGGATTGGATGCCTCCTGCACGAACCCCGACCAGGGGCGGGGAACCTGCAACCAAGGTATGTGCCCTTGACTGGAATCGAACCCGGGACCTTTCAATCCACAGACCAACGCTCTATCCACTGAGCCAACCGCCTAAGGCGGCTAGTCCTCTTGTGATGCTACAAGTAGTTCAGCCCATTCCCGGGACTGGAGAACGGTCAGCCGTCCCGAAGCCAACTCCCGGAGGGGGTCAGGGTCGGGGTACCGCAACCAAATCAAAGAGTGTCCTGTCCTTGGTCTGTTTTTAAAATGTGTTTTTTTTACAGCCCTGTTGTTGTCTTTTTGCAACACATCCTATTGTTTCCCGGAGTCTGTAAGAAAACCTCCTATCTATAGTTAGTAAGGTGAGTAATTATTAAACAACTGTGCCTCTATTCTTATTAAGTGCCCTTCCCCCTTTCAGGATGAATTCAGAATTTAATGCTGTGATAATTTGGAGCGGAAGTGATTAACGAGAGCTGCGGGGGAGGGGCGGGTGATGGTGTTCACGCATTGAAAGGGGTAAGGTCAGGTTTAGCAATCTGATAACTCTCTATTCCTTACGCCACAAGCCGCGGATTCTTCCATTTTTCAGCTCCACTGGGACTGTGGGAAAGGATTTGTTCTCCAATTACCTTACCACTTCCTGGATTCGCCTACGTGCGCCCTCCCAACCAACCCAGAGGCCTCCTCCTCAACCGAGAACAGGACCTGCCCAAGGAATCGTCCCCAAGGTATCCTGCCACTCCCCGAGCCACCCGGGAACAGACGAGGGCGGAGCTCAGCCGGCCCTCGCCTTCGACGCCTCCCGAGGCGCAGGCTCCAAACTGTCACAACCGCACTGACACCGGCACCGGGGCCGCGCCCCTCCCCCGCCTGGAAGGATGCTGAGCGGCGGCGTCTCCGTGAGCACTGAGCCGCGGCGGCCGTTCTTCCCACACCACCCCTGCCTCACCTGAGCTCTCGGTGATCCCTGAGAAGGGACGGACCAGCGGCTCCTGAAGCACAGTCCACCCTGGCTTCAGCTTCGCAGCAGCTGCTAATGGCTGCCAACCAGCCGTCACTTCCGCCTCTAGATTGGCTGAGGCGCGCTTACGCTTTACAGCCTGCGACGCCGGAGGAAGTGACGAGAGAGGAAGGCGGGCGAGAGGCTGGAGCTGACGTGTGGCCCCGTTTCCGGCCCGGGGTTTAAACAGCCCAGAGGGCGCGGGAGCAAAGTATGCTGGGAGTGGTAGTTTTTTAGTGCTCAGCTGGAGTTGTCTGTAGGCTCTGGACCTCAGGATACATGTTATGTCAGAAATCAGATAGCCACACTCTTGCTCAGGAGTGACACTCCAACTTCGTTTCCATCCCGTCCACGGAACATTAAAAAAGTTGAATTGTAACATCCAGCATGATTAGCTTGTATGTAGTTAACGCTCGTAATGTCACCGACCAGATCCAGTTATAGCACATTTTCACCACCTTCCTAGATTCCCTCGTGACTTCCCTAACACAAATTTTTAGAACTTGTTTTAGTAAACGACCTATTTGGGGACTTAATGGGTGTGTCCTTTTATTTTTATTTTTTTAGTGATTGTATGTAGTTCCTAATTCATGGAGTCACTGAGAAGCTCAATTTTGTCCTGGATTTATTTCCCGTGGGAACAACCAGAGCGCTTATCTTTGCTTCATTGTGGTTCTTTACTGATTTTTCAACAGCTGAGACTACAAAGGTGTAAAGGTGTAAAGACTGAAAGGTGGAAAGGAAGCCCAGCTCAATTAAGTTTGGCTTCTGACCAGGCTCCAGTTCTCCAAGTCTGCGTCCCCCGCAGGGAGGGGCCGACGTGGGGAATTTTCAGCCTCATTGTCAGCCTTTGGGTTCTAGAACCTGGAAATCGCGCGGGCGTCGATGCGCGGCGGACGCTTGCGGGAAGGGGGCGCTCCGCTCTGGCCTGGCGGGCCGGTGCAGTGGAGACGCTCTACCCGAGGGGCAGCTCTCGTT